AATTAGCCCTGGTCCAGTGATGCCAAAGAAGCGTTGGATGGGAGAGACACTGACCCCCTCGGGAGGGTGGGGCAGCGGCACCCAGCACTCTGGACCCAGGGCCCTGGGTGAGCAGGCTGGTCTCTCTGGGGAGCTCTGGCTGGATTCTTGTCACCCCAGCTGGTTGCCTAACTGGGTGTCCCCAGCTGCCTGCACTTCCTCCATCAGAGCACACTCACTGCACTCCTTAAGATGAGCTGTCTCGCCTCTGCTTTTTCTGAATTAACTGAGGGCAGAGATTGTGTCTGACTTCTTCCCTGCTGTCCTCTCAGTACCCCCCTCAGTGCCTGGAGGATGAATGAACGCGTGAATGCACGCATGCCCCAGTCCTCCCCTGCTCACACCGTCCTGCCCGCACCGTGCGCTGCGGGTTTGATGTGGCACAGCTCTGCCGGTGTCACTCCGTTGCTCCTGGGGCAACCCCAGGCCCTCCGTTTCATTCTGAGACCTGGCCCTCACCTATGTCTCCTCTCCTGCCCTGATCTCTCCTATACTTGCCACCTCCCACCCTGCATTTCTCAGGTTTCCTGTACTTGCTCCAGAGCCCCCTCAAGCCACCTCCCACCCCAGCTGTCCCAGGAACGCTGGCCTGACCAAACCTGCACACGGTCCATGCTCACGCAAGCCTGCCCACGGGCTCTGGGCCTGCTCAGCGTGGGATGGGCCCAGGTGAGGGTCCTCAGGTGGCGTTCCTGGCCTCTTCCCCCGCACCCAGATCCCCCTGAAGTCCCCAAACATTTGTGTGTAAGGAGCCAGGAAATAGAGAGAGACCTTGGACAGAAGACACAAGTTCTAATCCTGCATCAGCCTCTCATTTCTTAGGTCATTCCTTTACCCTCTGGAGCCTCAGTTTCCCCATCTCTAAAATAAGAGGAGCCTACTGATAGCTCTTATTGTATCAATGCTCTTCCTGGCCAGGGCTGTGAGGAGACTCGAGGGAGTCCTGTGAGTGCAGTGGGACATCACTGGGCTCTGCTGTACGTGAGGAATCAGGCTCAAGGGGTTGGGAGGCTTGGCCCGAGTTACACAGTGAGAAAGTGGCCCCACTGGGGATCAAAATCAAAGCCTGACTTGGGCATCTGAAACATAACCACTGGGCACCCTGAGAGCCCTAAAGTCCTGGGTGATTTCTCTGTCAGTCCCTCTGGGCAGGGGCCCTCTGGGGACAGGCACCCCTGCCGGCTTTGTTTGCTTTGGCCTGGGTTTGGAGCAGGGTTGGCAGAGGCAGGCTGACTTGCATTTCTGGTTTTGGGTTTGTTGCTGCACTTTCCCCTAGGGGTGGGCGGGCTCAGGCTGACAGTCACCGCTGGGACAGGCCTGGGCCCCGCCCCCAGCACCCAGGAAAGGGGAAATGCGGTCTGCTCCCCTCAGTGCCACTGTGTGCCAGGCCCTGAGGCCACCCGGATGCTGCTTCCGTCTTTCCCCAAGGACTCTCAGAGGCAGGTGGCCGGGCTTGGGGGAGGCCTGGCTGTTGGGGAGGGTCATATGGATGTGGGGCACCAGGGAGCTGGCTGTGGGGCAGTGTGGGTTTCCTGATGAAGAAGACTGCTCCCTGCAGTGGGGGCGATGGGCTGGAGACCTGGATGTTCACGGGGACCGAGATCTGAAGTGGGCTTGGGATGAACAGAGTCAGCAGGCCTGGCTCTAGTCCCAGCCCAGCCCCTGATTGGTGCAGGGAGGCTCTGGGCCGGTCACTAAGTCACTGTCCAGGCTGGGTCCTCAGTCTTCCTGTCTGTTCAATGGAGGGTCTTTCTCTCCACTTGGGAGCTGCCTGGGGGTGGGGCTGAAGCATAGCCCATAGTTTCCAGATGGGCTCTGGACTGGGGGGTCTGGCATCAAGATCGCCAGTTTCCACTCTGGGCATTCAGCAGGGTTTGCTTCTAGGGATACATAGGAAAGAGACACTACTGTCTACGGTCCTTAACTTCAGAATTTCCCTCAGATCCATTTTTATTTTATTTTATTCTATTATTTTATTTTTATTTTTATTTTTTTGAGACAGGGATATAGGTTTATTTCTCAAAAAGGGTAAAGGGGTTTTAAAGAGACAGAAAACATTTTTACCCCTTTTCAGGCCATTCTCCCTGTTACATATTCCCCACTGTCACTTTTCCCTTCCGTGTATATGGAAGGAGGGGCGACATAGTCATCGAGCTACTTCCTGCTGAATCGGGGTGATGTTTTACATGGAAGGTACAGATTATCAGGTGAAATAAAAGGGCATAAGCAATAACTACAACCGTGAGAAATGATGAGGTGAAATGGACTGGTGCCTTGCACACAATGTCCGATATCGGTTTGGGTTAGAAAAGAAATGTGGGGCCCCTGAGTGAGCCATTAGTTGTACCTGTAGATGATCCAAGAGACCAGCTTCTGCAAATTCAGAAATCATATACAGAAATACTTGCACCAAATGAAGTTTAGGACAACATACCCAGCAGCAAGACAGAACAACAGAAGAGGCGTTAGCCCCAGGAAATCCTCACTGAGGAGTTGTCCCTTTATCCTGTAGATAGAACCAAAAAATAGTAGAAAATATCAGCATTTTCATTTTTTATCTCAAAGAGATACTTTAGATCACTTAAGGCTGACCCCTCCATTGGGGGTGACACCTCTTTACTTTGGTATGATGAACCCAAGGTTTCACTTCTGACATAGTCCACCTTTAAAATCACTACAGCTACCACCACCATCATCATGTCCTTTAAGAGCTTTATGCTTTCTATAATATGTGCTCCTGGTTTGTCACTTGGGCATATTAGTTATCCCATTTCACAGGTAGAGACCTTTAGGCCCAGATGGTTAGTAGCTGGCTCTTCCTGACCCCTCTGTGTGACTCTAAGCTGGCCCCCATCCCATCCCCACCGGGCCTCAGCTTTCCTGTCTATGCAGTGGGGATTTAGGATTGCTGATGTTTCAGAGTCTGAGGCTGTGAGGACTGAGGGGGGCCCTGGGTGGAGTCACCTCCAGCTACAAGCAGGGTTTCCAGGGCAAGAAGACCACAGGGTCAGTGGACACCTTCTTTGGCCTGAGAACCAGAGCCCAAGGTGTGCCCTCCCTGACCCTGGCCAGATCGTCCTGGAGTCCTCTGGGACCTCCCCTCCCTTACTCAGTCACCCTCTCTGCTCGGCAGGGCTCCACTTTCACTTTCATGCTCCCAGGCAGGGGCTCTTACCCATGCTGCGCTTTCACATCCGCTTTGGTGCGCCCACATGCCAGTGTGAGCCCTGACACGTGGGTGCAACACCCTGCCGCTGCCCTGAACCACAGCTGGGCACTTACTCCCAGCTGTGGGCCTTCACCGTTGCAGATGGCCCAGGGTGCCAAAGACGACTCAGCATAGGCATGGCCTCCATTGGTGCCGGAGCAGCTGTGCATAGTGGATAAGTCACTGCTCTTTACGCTCAGTTTTCTCATCCACCAAATGGACATTAATGGTCTACAATAAGAGTTCTTAGCCCATGTTCTGGGAGTACTTACCCATGAAATTCTGCACCTGTGTGTGTGTGTGTGTGTGTGTGCACGCTTGTGCACACACATGTACACATATTCCCATGCATCTGTACAGTCCAAGGTATGTGTGGGGTTTTTCTCTTTTTTAGTTCTATGTGGCTATGGCTTCTTGAAGGACAAAACCTGGGCTCTGAATAGTTCTAGCTCTAGCAGTCTAAGTCCTTGAGTGAGGGGGGCCCCGCCCAGGCCTGAGCCCTGCTTCCCCCGTGCGGCTATGGCACATTCCTCATGTTCTCGGGGCCCTAATCTTCTTGTGAGATCGTTGCTTTTCAGACTTTCACCAAAGGAACTATTCTTTCCTTTGCAAATGAAATCTACTATCAGAACGCAGCAAAAACTTGAGGGTTCTGAGGGCTGTGTGAGAGGCAGGAAATGCTTTGCTTTTTTCTTTTTTTAAGGAGTCCCTGAGGTTTCTCCAAGCAGTTTAAAAGTCACTGGGTGGGTGATCCCCGGGAGGTTCTGTGTCTGTGACATCTGGTCAGTGCAGGTGTGAACAATGTTTTAAAGTTCCGGTTTCATTCCAGTTTACTAGTTTCAAAGATACTTAAACACTCAGAGCACATTCTTGTTTGAATGACTCACTAGGAACTTTTTAAGACTCTGAGTGAGGTAGTGAGACCCTGTGGCTACATTCAGTGGCTGCTCTGGCTTGGGGGCTTGGCTTGGTTCTGGTCCATGGAGGCAGAGACTGCCTGGCTGCTTCCTTACTCACAGAGGCAACTTCTCCACTCTTTCCCTCTCTGTAAGCTGGGGACAGTGACACTTCCCTTCTGGGGCTGCTAGGAAGGCCAGGTAAGAGAGGGAGCTCAAGCACGGGTGCGGTGGCTCATACCTGTAATCCTAGCACTCTGGGAGGCCGAGGCGGGTGGATTGCTCGAGGTCAGGAGTTCAAAACCAGCCTGAGCAAGAGTGAGACCCCATCTCTACTATAAATAGAAAGAAATTAATTGGCCAACTAACATATCTATAGAAAAAATGAGCCGGGCATGGTGGCACATGCCTGTAGTCCCAGCTACTCGGGAGGCTGAGGCAGCAGGATTGCTTGAGCCCAGGAGTTTGAGGTTGCTGTGAGCGAGGCTGATGCCACGGCACTCTAGCCTGGGCAACAAAGGGAGACTCTGTCTCAAAAAAAAAAAAAAAAAAAAAAGAGAGGGAGCTCAAGCTGGCATGGTGCCTGACATCTAACAGGAGCCACATAGATGGTCATTACCTCTCCCTCATCTCCTGCAAACAACTGCCTGGGTTTTTGATGGAGCAGGAAGTTCAAGCAAGGAGACAAGGGTGAGACCCTTCCACTGCTCAGCCAGAGGGCTTTTCAGACGTGGGAGTGCATGATTCAAGCCACTGCCTGATTTTGTACCAGCCTCTATGACAGTGAATTGAGCATGGTGTCTGGCATCTCATAGCCTCCTCTTCTGAGCCTCTCTTGTTTTCTTTCTGTTTCCCAGATGTTTGAGACAGAAGCAGATGAGAAGAGGGTGATGCCTTTGGAGGAAGGGAAGGGGCCAGGTGCTGAGGACCCCCCACCCAGCAAGGACCCCTCTCCTGGCCAGGGGCTTCCTCCAGGACAAGACCTTCCACCCAACAAGGACTCCTCTTCTGGGCAGGAACTCGCTCCTGGCCAAGAACCACTGTCCAGCAAAGACTCGGCTACCAGCAAAGAACTCCCTCCAGGCCAAGAAGCCCTGCTGGGCAAGGGCTCCCCACCATGCCAGGACCCCCTTCCAGCCCAAGACCTCACACCCTGCCAGGACCTTCCTGCTAGTCAAGAACCCCCTCCTCCCCAGGACCCCCTATGTAGCAGAGACCTCCCTGCCACCCAGGAACCCCCTGCCCAGGACCCGCCCTGTCAAGATCTGCTTCCCGGCCAGACCACCGTGCCAGCCACGGCCCTTACTGAGGAGACTGTGAGCTCTGGGGACCCACCAGCAGCCACCAGGGACCCACCTGCGGCCTCCAGGCCAACCTTTGTGATCCCCGAGGTGCGGCTGGACAGTGCCTATAGCCAGAAGGAAGGGGCAGAGGGGGGCAGCTCGGGAGAGGAGGAGGATGCAGAAGATGTGGAGGAGGGGGAAGACGGGGACGAGGAGGAGGATGAGGACACAAGCGACGACAACTACGGAGAGCGCAGCGAGGCCAAGCGCAGCAGCATGATCGAGACGAGCCAGGGCGCGGAGGGCGGCCTCTCGCTGCGTGTGCAGAACTCGCTGCGGCGCCGGACGCACAGCGAGGGCAGCCTGCTGCAGGAGGCCCGTGGGCCCTGCTTCGCCTCCGACACCACCCTGCACTGCTCAGACGGCGAGGGCGCGGCCTCCGCCTGGGCCATGCCTTCGCCCCGCACCCTCAAGAAAGAGCTGGGCCGCAATGGCGGCTCCATGCACCACCTCTCCCTCTTCTTCACAGGACACAGGAAGGTGAGAGGCCGAGGGGTGGAGGGCAGGTTACCTGTGATGAGGGGGGGCAGGCCTATGGACTGCAGGGAGCCAGCTGTCACCTGTCCCATCCCTGCTCTTTGGTGAGCCTCCCAGTGACCCTTCTACCCTTTGACAGAAGATAAAACTGAGGCCCAAGGGAACCAAGAATGTAGAGCCTGGACTTAAACTCATGACTTTAGGACTCCAGATGCTGTGTTCTTATAGCTTCGTTGTGCTGCTGGTCCCCGCAGAAAGCAGAGCAGGGGTGGCCCAGCCCGCGCCACTGCATATGGGGATCTAAAACCACTGCGATAGCGGGTAGAGAAACAGAGTTGCAATTTAGACATGGGCCAGGCCTAGCCATACCAGAAATCCACCAGCCAACAGCAGCAGTGACAGTGCTCAAGTTTTCTGTCCCCGCATTATTCTAAGCAATTGACATTAACTAATTCCTTCTTGAAACAGCCCTATCAAGTGGGTAGGATTTTGTGCCCATTTTACAGATTAGGAAGCCGAGGCACAGAGGAGTTATCTAACTTGTCCCAGGTTATAAATGTCTTAACCAGAATTAGAATCTGGTACCAGGGCTAGCGCTCTTAACCACCATGTTATTTGCCTTTTGCAAATATTTATAAATAGATAAATGAGTGTTTATTGATTTTCTGCCGTGTGCCAGGCCCTGTGCTCTGTGCCACACAGCAGGGGCTACAGAAATGTGCGAGGCTGATCTCAGCCTTTGAGAAATGATTTATCTGTGTGGGCCTCGAACGTGGCCTGAGAGTCGACAGACTGCGCCGTGGCCTTGAAGTCCACCATCCAGCTTGAGTCGGCTCTGTTTCTTACTGCGTGGCCTTGGTTGAATCACTGAGTTCCCGGGAGACTTGGTTTCCTTTTCTGAAAAGTAGGGGCTCATAGCACTCATGTCCCAGGGCGGTTGAGGATGAACCGGGAGAGACTGGTGCCTGACAATATTAGCCACATCGCCTTAGGGAACGCTGCTTCCACCCCTCTCGAAGTACAGCAGCCAATACGAGGGGTTGATATGACAACTGTTGTGAGCCCGGGTGGCTGGGTGGTCAGTGCCCGTGGAGTGCAGCTGACTGTCAGAGATCTGGAAGTTCAGGAGGAGAGACCCCAGGGCCTAGGGCCATCAGGGAAGGCTGGAGACAGATGCTGCTCAGGTTGGCTTAAAGGTTGAGCAAGTTTAGAATAAACAGAGAAGATGAGGCAGGCATTCTTTGGCTGGAGTAGGGAATTCCTAAAGGGTAGGAGTGGCAGACACATGACATGCATGCTGCCATTCCTCCTCCAAACACATGGCAGACATCACTAATGGATCCCAGCATGCTTCCTTACCAGGTTGGTACATAGATAGCCTCAAGAGCTTGATTAGCTTCTTAGCCCCTAGCAGTATGACAAACCTGGCATTTGGGGAGACACCTTTTGCTGAAAGGAGGTCAGGCTGGAAGGGTAGACTGGGGCCCTCCAGAAAAGGGTCTTGAACTTTGGCCCCAGATCAGGGATTAAACCCCAAAGAAATTGGGACTGGATCGTGGTTTCCTCATCTGTAAGCCCGTGTGGTTCTCAGACTTCCTCTGTGGGGCTCCAGAGTCACCCGGGGGAGGCTAGTAACATATGATTCCCAGCCCCCAGCCCCAGAGCTCTGGAATAGAATTTCCAGGGGTGTTGCCCAGACCCTGCATTTTAAACAAGCCCCCCAGGGATCATGATCTCATGAAAGTTTGAGTGTCACCATCTCAGGTCATTTCTTGATGCAGCTGCTACAGAGAGCATCTGGAACTCTCTGGCCAAGGCGAGGCTCGGGCTTACTCAGATCAGGCCTGGGCACTCCTCTCTGGAGGGCAGCTGGGGCTCAAGGGCCCACTGCTAGAGTCTTCTCAGTTCTACTCCCCTGCCACCTTTACTCCAGTAAAAATATTTATACACAGAAAAATTCACACACACTCAGGCGTGCACATCTATGTAGTTCCCCAGCTCGGTTGACCTCAGCTCCTATTTTGGGACAGATACTTCAGCCTGGGAGTCCCGCAGGCCTGGACCAGCCCTCTCCTGGCCTCAGCTTCCTCCTTTGGTGCCCAGAGTTCCCACTGGCCTCTTCCTCTCCCCCACCCTCTTTTGGTCTGTCACCTCCTTCCTTGGGCTTGAGTGACCGGGCTGGCGGGGGCCTCAGAGTCTGCCCCAGCGCGGTGGTGGCCACTCTTGCATGGGGCTCTCACTTACCAGGCCATTGTCCAGCTCCATCACTGCTCGCTTGTGGCCTGAGACAAATTGCTTCTCCCTAGCCTCAGCCCGCCCGCTGTGGGATGAGTGCCACTCCCACCTCGAGGCCACACTGGGAAGGTGAACAGAGGGGCATGGTGGCACTTTGTGACTGGTAGCTGGTTCTATGCCTGCTACTGGTATCCTCTGCTCCTCTTCTTCCTCCTCAGCCCAGGGTTACCATTTATGGAGCACCCACCGGGTGCTGAGTGCCAGGCACTGCCCGAGTCCACGTATTTGGTCTTCCCAGCAACCCTAGGGAGGAGGGGCTATTACCATGCTCATTTCACCAGTGAGGAAACTGAGGCGCAGAGAGGGGCAGGAACTTGCCCAAGGCCCACCGCCAGTGAGGGTGGGAGCTCACCCTCGTCCAGGCCTCTGTGACTGCACCCAGACCCTGCGTGCCCATGCTGAGGCGGGGCTGGGGGCGGGGGCTGGCAGAGCGGAGGCAGCGGGTGCCCTGTGGCTTCCATCTTCCTGGTGTTGGCCTGGCTCTCCTGGGAGGGTCAGCTGATGCTGACGCCCACTGTTCCCAAGCGAGGCCAGGCAGGAGGTGACAAGGAAAGGGATGAAGTCTTCAGGCTGTGGAGTCAGACAGACCCAGGTTCCAGTCTCAGCTCTGCCTCTTCCTTCCTGGCTCTGAGACCTTGGCCAAGTTGCTTCTTGCTCTGAGCTTAAGTTTTCTCTTACAAAATGGGAACACTACGTCTTCCTGGAATTGTCCCAAGGATTCAAAGTATCAGGACACAGAAAGCCCTGTGCCGTGGCCTTGGGCTGGTCATTTGTGCTGCTGTGTGATAAGCGGAGGCTGCCCAGGCGCATGCCGCCTGCCGCAGGGTGACACGCGGTCCCGATGTTGCCCCTCCCCCCACCGGAGTGTTAGAACCAGACAGGTCTTAGAGACGGTCTGCTTGGCCACGGTCATCCTACAGATGGGCCGGCAGAGGTCCAGGGAGGGGAAGGCCCCCACGGTTATCCAGTGGGTCACCGCGGGGGCTGGCGCCTGCACTGAGTTGAGCTGTCTCATGGTGCCCCCTGCTGCCAGACCCCTGCCCTCCTGGCTGCTCCCCGGAGGCCCGCAGCGCAGATCTAGAGGCCTGCCTCTGCCTTTTCCCTGGGGAGCCAGGGAAGCCCCAGAGAGTAAGTTCTGTGTCTGGGCCCGTGTGCTGTCGTTGAACTCCACCCCAGCCTGGCTCGGCTCAGCACAGGATCACGGGCCATTCTTTGACAGCAGACCAAGTGTGGCCCTTCCCTGGCTGTGCCTCCTTCCTCCTCTGCAGGGCACCGGCTCGGGCAGAGCCTGTCAACAGAGGGTGCCAGCCCTGCTGCACTGACCGCCTGCTTAGACCGGAAGTCAGATAGGAGAACCCCGAAAATGCCTTCCAGCTCCCAGGTGTGATAGTGCCTTCAAGCCTCCTATGTAAGGAAATCCTAAAGAAGAATTATTTCCTATGTGTAAACAAATAAGTATAGAGTTTAGATCCACTCTTCCCAGGGTTCCACAGGGCCTGCAAGGCCGGGCCAGGTCAGAGAGGGCAGCCATGCCTGGCCAGGTGCCTCAGAAGTCAGAGCAGGACCAGCAGGGGACCCAGTTAAGGCCCTGCTCACAGAAGAGCCCTCAGTCACCAGTGGGCTCTGTAGCCAGACTCAAAAGTCTCTGCCATGTGCCAGCTAAGTTACCACACTGCTCTGGGCCTCAGTTTCCTCCGCTGTAAACTGGGGGAAATAACAACACATATCTCTTGGAATTACTGCCAAGATTCAATTAGATAATGACAGTAAAGCACTGTGACACAGTGCCTGGCATGTAGTGGGTGCTCGATAAACAGCAGCAAAGACCACACTAGCTAAGAGTTCCCGAGCACTGCCTGTGCTGGCTGCTGTGCTGAGCACGTCACCTGTGGTGACTGAATCCCCACAGTGGCCCTACGAGGTGGAGCCAGTTGTTACCCTCATTTTACAAATAAGGAAACTGAGGCACAGAGAGCTAAGGTCAGTTAGCTAGTAAGTGATTGAGCTGGGATTCAAATCCAGGCAATTTAGAATCCACACTCTTAATCACTACTATAATTACAGTTTCATAATTATTATTCCCAGAGGCAGTGAGCTCCCAGTCCCTGGAGGTGGCTGGGCGAGTCCCTGGAGGCTCCTGGGATTCTTGCCTAGACTGAAGGAAGGGCTGGGTGACTCTGGGCTGGCCTCCCTTTGCCTTTCAGCGGAGCGAGGTCACGGATCAAGATAGTGAGGAGAAGATAAGAGAGAGAATCCCTGTGGACAGGCCCTTTGCACGCTGGGCCCCGGGGGCCTCGCCACGGCTGCAGGAGGGAGGAGTCTTGGGGGCCACTCGGACCCCTTCCAAGGCCAGAGGCCAAAGCTTCCCTGCAGACTTGGGGAGTCCCATCTCATTTTCTTCCTGGCCCACAGACTTCCCCTTGGTGCTGGGGTGTCCCCGGCTTTCCGGGGGGCCAGAGCTGCCCGGCCCCTCTGTCCGGCTGCTTGGCTTGGGCTGGTCCCTGCCGAAGACAATCCCTCCGGGCAGTGGAAGGAAGAGCCCATTTCCCAGCAGTGCAGAGGCTGGGGGCGGGGGTGGGGCGGGAGTGGTCCCCGGGCCCATTGTGTGGGGCTGATAAAGTGCGGAAGCCAAGGTCAGAATGGGAGGAAGCCCAGGGCCTCAGGGCCCTTTCCCACGGGTGGGGGCCTAGGGCCCTGGCCGGCGTGACCACAGCCTGTACACCCTGCACTGGGCGACAGCGGTAACGCTCAGCCGGGCACCCAGAGGGCACCCTGGGTGCCAGGACTGAGCCACAGGGGCCCAGACTTTATTCTGGTGAAACTTCCATCGGCCCCGTGAGGTGGCGTCATCACATGCCTAAGCTATAGCCAAAACAACGGAAGCTGAGAGGCTAGGAAATGTCTCCGAAGTTGCTGGAAGCAGGATTTATACCCAGGCCTGGCTCCAAACCCTAGCTCTGAATTCACACACCATATGTTGTATGCCCCTGTGAGCACGCACACACGCGTGTGTTTACGACACTGGTGGAGTAGCATTCTCAGGAAGGAGGTGGCATTTCCCCTGCGTCTTTTACTGAAAACCTTCAAAATGTGCCTGTCGTTACATTTGAGTAGTAGCATCCTCTGGTGGAGAAACACAGGCCTTGACTTCAGATATAGATTCCAGCTCTGTAACTTAAATGCTGGGTATCCTTGGGCAAGTGACTTAACTTCTCTGATCCTTTGTTTACTTCATGGATTTGTTGTGAGGATGAATGAGCTAGTATCTGGATTATGCCCATTCCAGGGTCTGGCCTGTAGCATGAACTCCACAAATGAAGGTGGAATCATCTGGCCAGCCTAGGGTGGGTGCTCCACTGAGGCCTGTAGCTTCCCCTGCTGGCATAGCTGAAATAAGGCCGCTTTTCTTTCCAGAATTAAGAGCACAGCATGGAAAGCTTGGCCCATCTTCTTTACCTTACAGAGGAGGAAACTGAGGCAGATGTCAAGAGGAGTCAGAACTAAGACCCACACCTAGTGACCTTCTGTCCTGTTTGGGGACATGGGTTCTGAGCTTTAGCTTTTCTGCTGTCTCAGAGCATTTCCTGGGCTTCTGCTTTGTTGGGGCCCCAGGTCCCCCTGGAGGAGGACGCTCAGGCAGAGGCAGGGTAACGGGGACAGAGGGTGGCCCTGATAGGGACTCTGGAGCAGTCTAGGGGAGAGGACGAGATGCGGGCACTCCCGGCAAAGGCAAAGAGTTGGGGTGGAGTGCAGTGTGTGGGCTGCAGCGGGGCTCTGTGGGACTGGGCAGGGGGGCCTCCGGACCCCTCTTTCCCTGTCTGCTTCCGCATCTCTTCATTCATTCATTCATTCGACAGATTTGACGTACTGAACTCCTAACGCGTGCCAGGCCCTGTGAAGGTGGCCCAGGCAGACAGAGGCCTTGCTCTTGGGAACTTATAGCTGAGCAGAGGAGACAGACTTGGAACAATACAATTAGGGTGTAGTGGGGACCTCAAAAGAGGTGAAGGGGGCACAACCTTGTTCTGGGGGTCTGGAAGGGCTTTCCAAGGGAGGAGGCATTTAAGCTATTTACCTGAGGTCTAAGTCTGCCTGAAGCTGGGTCTTAGGAGGGAAGGAAGGTAGGAGGGTGACAAAAGTGTTCCACATGGGAGGAATAGTACATGCAAAGGCCTGGGGTGAGGGGGACAGGGCAGGTGAAGACATGTTTTGCTGGAAGGCAGTCGAGGAGGTTGGAGCAGGGGCCAGGCTGGAGAGACAACTGAAGGAGTTGTAACCGGTGTTAAAATGGAACTTTCTGCCCCAATCCTATGACGGTAGACCCTGACCTGTTATGGAGTTGGAACACTCCTGAGAGCACTAGGGAGCCATGGAAGCCTTTTAGGCAGGAGAGGTGCTCTCAGGCCTGTGTAACGACTCACTGTACACACTGCCGACCCAAGCCGTGTCTCCTTCAAATGTCGGAATCCTCAATTAACTGTTTCCTGATTTTAGAAATTAAGGAACAGAGGCTCAGAGAGGGGCAGCGATTGGCTGAGTCACACAGCAGAAGCCTGGCTGGAGCCCTGCTTTCTGGCCTGTCCCACTGCCCGCAGCAAAGCCTCTGTCCCGAGTGCCGTCCCTCTGGCTTCTTCCCAGCAAGCCGGGGTTCTGGCTGCACCAGGCGGCGCCCCTGTGGCTGGAGGCTCCACCAAGCTAATCACGCTCAGAAGACAAGCTCTTCCCAGTAGTGGGGTCTCCCTCCCGCACCTGTTGTGCTAGAGGTGGGGTTTTGGGGGGAGGGAGGGCTGGTGGCAGGAGCTCTCAGATCCCCGAGGCTCTCTGCTTGGGCAGCAGGCCCAGGATGTGCAGGCTGCATCTTGTGTGTCTTCTCTCCACAGATGAGCGGGGCTGACGCGGTTGGGGACGATGACGAAGCCTCCCGGAAGAGAAAGAGCAAAAACCTGTACGTTGGAGAGATGCATGGCCCTCACCCTGTGGGCAGGGAGGTTCCCTACACTCCTCTTCCTCCTCTGCAAAGGGCTTGTCCCCCTCTAGGGGTCCAGGTGGTGGGACGGGGCTGCACCTGGTCCCACCTACAGCCCCAGACAGACCAGGGAACAGCACCTGAGGTCACCAGGGTCCTGAGCAGTCACTCAGAGGGAGGCAAGGTGGGGCTTTGGTGCCCGGAAGCCACGGTGAACCAAGGCAACCAGCCAGGCTGCCCTGGCCCCAGCCCAGCCTCTGAGCCAGGCGGTGGCCAAGTGACCTCCACAACTCCTTTGCTGCCTCTGGCCTCACGAATGACCCAACTGACAGTTCACCGGTTTCTCTTTCTCCTCTCGAATGCTGACAGTCTTGAGCATTGCCAGGAGGGGGCGCTGCTGGCCCAGCTACTGTGTGCCGTGCTCCCCAAGCCTTTCTGGCATGCTCCGGCCCCCTTATATTTGTGGAGGTACCAATTAAAAAGGTGTGTGTGGAGGGTTCTCCTCAGGTCTCCTTGTACCCCCAGGCCCAAGGCCATGGATACTAGGGGAGGTCCAGGGGGAGGCAGCAGGGTGCATGGTGACCCCTAGGGGAGCCCCTCCTCTCAAGGTCCTATAGCACCCACCCTTGGGCAGGGATTGGGCTTAGGCAGAGAGGATAAGAGTCCTTTCTAGTTGCCTCCTGAGACACTCTTCCCTGGCCTTGACCTTGGCTGGGGTCCACTACCCTAGAAACCCTTTCTACCCCCAGCTCCTCTGACTTCTGCAGCACCTGTGTGCATCCCTCATTCTGCAGAACAATCGCACTTTTTAGGCAAGGTGGAATGCACAAACGGAAATAGTCCTTCGCACCACTAACCTCTGTTAACGTTTGTAGGATGGGGGAGGGTCCATCCAGCGCCAGAGCTGCTGTGGGTGGCGCCCCCCGGGGTTGGGGGCAGTGCATGGCAGTGGAGGGCAAGCACCCAGGGTGTTGGAGCTGCCCTGTCCAGCGACACCAGCCTCTTTTCAGAGCGGGTGCTGCCTCTTGAATTGCCTGAAGCTCACACTCTCAAAAGCTTATGCATAGACTCGGCATCTGGGACAATAATAAAAATAATTGCTAACATTTATTGTGCCAGGCACTGTTCTGTGTGCATTACATGTATGATCTAATTTCATCTTTACCATTACTTTTATTTTAGATTTCCTTTTTTTCTTATTCACCTTATCCTTATTTTACTAGTGAGTAAACTGAGTGCAAAGAGGTTAAGTTACTTGTCCGGATCACAGAGCAAGAAGGTGGTAGAGCTGGGGTCTGGCAGGCTGGCTCCTGTGTGACAGACAGGAAAGCTTGACAGGCAGAGAGGTTAGGGAACTTGACAAAGGGCACACATCTGGTCACTGCTGGAGCTGGGACTTAAACCCAGGGCTGTCTGGCCCCGCAGCCTGGGCTCAACCGCCACCTGCCACCAAGTCCCTTGATTGTACAGGGTTTCCCCTAGGTCTTAGTGCTATTTCTCAGCAGTATAGATGCTACAAACTTGCCAAACACATTTGAAAGTGTAATTCTTTACATTTCTTTTACACTTATTTAACTTTGTGATTTCTGAATTAATACATTTTTCATTTTCATTTTTGGTTTCGGTCAGCATTTTCCATCTTCAGGAGGACAGAGACCAAAAATGAAAATGAAAAATGTATTGTTCAAAAATCACAAAACCAAATATACACAAAGAATTAAATAATTAAACGTTCATATGAAGTTTCTGTAAGTTTATTGGATGTGTAATTCAAGCTTAAAACTGCTAAGACTTCTGGGACCTGCCGTGTGCTTGGGTGGATGTGTCCAGCGCCAGGGCCTGGAACTCTTCTCTGGGAGGTGCCCGGTGTTGGGGTCTGGGGACATGAGCGTGAAGTATTTAACCCCTTTCTTGCCAGCAACTCTGCCCAGCGCTGAAATCTACTGCCTCCTGGGGGAAGGCAGTGGTGGTGTGGCTAAAAATGGTTCTTGGCTAAAAATAGCCGGTCCTGCCACCCTGGTGGGCAGAGCCTTCCCTGCTCCCTCCCTCCCGCTCAGCAATTTGCTGACTCGTTCCTCTCCCCCCCCCCCCCCGCTGCTGCCATGGTAACAGGGAGGCCTGTCACAAATAACTGGGTCTGGCTTCCTGCCGGCAACCGGCCCCAGAGGCTGTCCCTTGCAGACACATACCCCTTTCAGGGCTCCCTCTCCCTCTCGGGGTTGGCCAGGAGGAGTATTTTTTTCCGCTCCCCCTCCTGGTCCCTCCCATTTCCTGGCTCCTCCTGTCTGAGTCCCAGCCCTGGCTTGTGCCTGGGAGTCCAGTCGTCCGGCCAGGATTCCAGCGAGTGAGCGTGCGGCTGCAGCCTGCACAACTGCTGCCCGCTGCCCGGGACTCGGGGGTAGGGGCAGGAGCCCGAGGGGTGCTCCCTACACACTGTCCTGGGGCCCCAAGGTGGGGGGCCTACAGCGATGCTCCGAGGCATGTACCTCACTCGCAACGGGAACCTACAGAGGCGACACACGATGAAGGAGTAGGTGCCCTCAGCCCAACCCTCAACCGCTGGATTTGCAGGGGCCGAGGGTGCCAGGCAACCAACTTCCCTTTCTGTTTCTGCCCCCAGAGCCAAGGACATGAAGAACAAGCTGGGCATCTTCAGACGGCGCAACGAGTCCCCTGGGGCCCCTCCAGGGGGCAAGGCAGACAAAATGATGAAGTCGTTCAAGTAGGTCCCTCCGCCACTCCTCAGGCACTCAGTGGTCCCCGGGAGCAGGGCTGAGTGGTGGGGTTAAGGGGGAAGGGGCTTGTTGGCTTGATCCCAGGTGGGGGCTCGGAGGGCCAGGCAGGCCAGGGGTGGGGGCTGGAAGTGATATTGGCCCGGAGAGAGGGAATGGGGAGTGGGTCTCCCTCCTGGCCTCCCCAGCCCAGCTCATCTGTAGCCTGGGCCCAGGGCAGCTGACAAAGGCCCCCCGAGCCTTACTGTGTTTCTCCCTCACCCCTCAGGCCCACCTCAGAGGAAGCCCTCAAGTGGGGCGAGTCCTTGGAGAAGCTGCTGCTTCACAAATGTAAGTGGGGGCCAGCCGGCTTGCGTCCCTCCCTGTGCTCCCACTCTCCTTCTCCCCTTCCTCCTCATCCTGACCCAGAGACGCATCTGGTGCTGGAGGGGCCTCCGTCCCTCGCTCCTGTGCCCAGGCAGGTGTCCTTGCTGCTGGGGAGAGGCTGGGCCTGAGTGGAGGCCCTTGGTCTGGCCTTGGAGCCGGCTTCTGCCAGCCCCTCCCTGCCCGTGGGAGCTGGCACTGCCTGCTAGCGGCTCCTGGGACCTGTGTGCTCAGACCCGCATTCCCAGAAAAACAGTAAACATCTCCAAGTACTGAGAGTTTACACTGGGCCAAATGTGCCTGCCGTCCTCCTGGGCAGGATCCCGAGGATCCTCCTGGGGCTCCAGGACACAGGATTGATGATGCCCATCTTACAGATGAGGACACTGAGGCATAGAGAGGGGAGAGACCTGGCCGAGGCTCATAAAGAGGCAATGGCAGGGCAGGGACCACATCCCGGGCTGGCGATCCTACTAAGCTCCAGGAATGTGCATCCTCAAGGCCCCAGGCGGGTACACTGGGGGTCCCAAGGGCCGGCGGGGCTGGCTCTGCCTCTCACTCCAGGCTCTGGGCTTCTGCTTACAGATGGGTTAGCGGTGTTCCAGGCCTTCCTGCGCACCGAGTTCAGTGAGGAGAACCTGGAGTTCTGGCTGGCTTGTGAGGACTTCAAGAAGGTCAAGTCACAGTCCAAGATGGCAGCCAAAGCCAAGAAGATCTTTGCTGAGTACATCGCGATCCAGGCGTGCAAGGAGGTAGGGCCTTGTGCCCCCAACCCCACTGCCTAGTGGCCCTTCAGCTGCAAGGCGGCAGCCAGCGACTCAGGAAGGGGAGAGACCGTGAGCCCAGGGTGGGAAGAAGCAAGCCGGGGCCAGGGGAAGAACAGAATCCTGGTTAATGATACACATGGCCCCCGCCTGGGCACTGCTGTGTGCCAGGCACATGCTGGGTCCTTTACGCATGTGCCCTTGTGCTTAATCCTCACAAAATTCCCTGAACTAGGTTTTAATATCATCTTCATTTTAAAAATGCGGACACAGTCTCAGAGAGCCTAATCATAGTAGCCAACACCTATTGAGTGCCTACTGTGTGCCAGGTACTGTGTGCAAAGTGCTTTAGAGATGGGTAATCTGGCTCCATTCTCACAACTCTTTGAGGAATATACTAGTATTTCTAGCCCATAGGTAAGACAGCGGAGGCTCAGTGGACTTAAGTGATTTGCTTTAATTCACACTCCCAGGTGTGGCACTGCTGGGATTTGAACCCAGGCAGCCTGCTAGGGGTGGTGTTTTCAGGCCCTTGAATCCACTGGCCCAAGGGCCTCCACTTCCGTTGAACCTTAAGGTGTGGGCAGAGGGGCTTGGAGGTGAGAGGCTGGATCGGCCCCATCCCTGCGTCGCCCCCTAGAGTCAGCCCCACCCCCGCCGCAGGCAGCCCTGACCGTGTCACTCTCTGCCTCTGCAGGTAAACCTGGACTCGTACACGCGGGAGCACACCAAGGACAACCTGCAGAGCGTCACTCGGGGCTGCTTCGACCTGGCACAGAAGCGCATCTTCGGGCTCATGGAGAAGGACTCGTACCCTCGCTTTCTCCGCTCTGACCTCTACCTAGACCTTATTAACCAGAAGAAGATGAGTCCCCCACTTTAGGGGCCACCGGAGTAGAGCTCAGCGTTCACACCAGGCAGGCTGGGCCCCCTGCCCACCTGCCTCCCTCCCCCCTGCGACAGAGGGGGCAAGCAAGCCCCCAGAGGCTGTGTCTCCGGACAGACAGATGGACATTTGGATGCAAGGCCTGGGCTGAGAGAGGCCCAGGCTGCTGGAGGAGTAGAACGACTGGCCCTGTTGGGTCCCCGCTGTCCCGGTACGAGGGGGGCCCAAGGGCCCCGGCAGGTCAGGGGCCTGTCTAAGCCAGATCCGGAGCTGCCGCTCCCTGCTGTGGAGACTTCGGAGACTTCGCATTGACCAAGTTCCTTAAAGAACTGGCTGATGGTGCAGGAGGCCCAGGCCTGGGCTCTGGGGCCCTCCTGGGGGCCACTGGGGCTCGCAGCTCAGACCCTCGCCTTGGGTTTTATTTATTTAAACAGTAGTTGGATGCTTGGCACGTCGTCCTGTGATAGGAAACCCTTGCCTCATCAGTTTTCCTAATTTACAAGTGCAATATTTTAACCAACGCCTTGTGAAAAGCCACCTCGCAGAGGTGGACATCATTCTTGAGTTTCAGGGGATTTGCCGGTCCCGGCACCAGTGGCAGGCAGCTGTGCCTTCTGGACTGATGAGGCCCAGTGGGACACCACAGTCTGACCACACACAGAAATCTGGTACCCCCTGGGTAGGGTGTCCCTCAGGGGCTCCGGGAAAGCGTGGCGCCCTCAGACCACACAGTAGCCAAGTTCTGGAGCAAATAAAAGGCCTGTGTTATTGTTCTTGACCTTTCTGTGTGTTTCTGGTCTCGAGCCTTCCCAGGGTGCTGGGGCTGGGAGGGCGGGTCGTTGGGGTGTTGATCCGGCTGCCTCTCCTCTCTTGCTGTCACCTGTCGCCATCCTGCAGCCAGATACGTTGGTGATTGCTGCTCTCTAACTGCTTCCTCTGCCAGACCCCAGCCTCGCTCATTCCAGTGCTCATTGATCTCCTCCCCATGCCTGGGAGGTTGAGCTTGTCCCCATTTCACAGATGAGGAGACTGAAGCACAGACAGGTAAAGTGACTTGTCCAAGGGCACATAGCCAGCAGGTGGCAGAGAGGGGGGTCAGTCTAAGCCTGATCGCTGTGCTCTGCCAGCTACAGGATGGAGTCCTCGCTCGGCCACCAGCTGGCTATGTGTCCTTCAGCAAGTTCTTTCACGTCTCTGCCCTGCCTCACCCTGAGGTTCTAATGGAACTTTCAGGTGATACAAGGGTAGTAGGTGGAGTAGGACAGGGCTAGCTGGTAGTGGCAGGCGCATGGAGGCTTTCTGGGGAGAGGTGACAGGAGATAGGACTCACAGAGCATCTCTCTGTGGCTTTCCCCCCTGTGCCTTTGTTTCCCCTCCTGCCTAACAGGAGATGCAAATTTAAGAGAAGCCAGGTCCCAAGGCATGCTTCAGGGGAGGACCTGGACCGCTTGCCTGGAAGTGGGTATAAGAGGGCCCAAGCCAAGCTCCCAGGGTGCAGGGGCTGGGCCCAGGGCATGGGCCGTGGTGGGGACTGGCTCGGCTGGGCCGACTGAGGTGAAGCTGGATGGAGTTGGTGCAGGAGGGGCTGGGTCCCTTCTCCCTGTACCCTCTTCCCTGTCTGGGGTCCTGGGGTCGGGTCTGCCCACTGGGGACTTGGAAACACAGAGGACACGGGGCTCCCTGCCTCTCCCTGCTGGTCTCCTGGGCAAGGCCACCCCTGTTTGCCCCCTGCACAGTGGGAGGATCAGAACTGGTGGCATCTGGAGGCCACTGGGGAGTTTGGGGCTGAGCCCTCCTTGGGGTTGCAGGAGGCTCGGGCTGGGGCCTGGGTGTGGAGTGGGTCCTTGTTCTTGCTCCCACTTGCTCCTGAGGCCTCACTCCGGGGAAGAGGTGAGCGGTCTGACAGCCCTTCTTACTGCACCTGACTGTTCCTGCCCAGTGCAAATGGGATCTCCCGCTCACCCCTGAAGCCTGCCTTGGGAAAACCTGTGTGCCAGCAGCAGCCCTGGTCAGTAGATGACCCCCTTCCCTCTGTCCCCAGGCAGCCAGCCGCTCCCCCTCCTGGATTAGCCCTACCAAACTGCATCAGAGTCAGGTGTGGCTTATGTGTCTCCAAAGGCTGCTCAAGCTTGGAATCAGGCAGTCCTGAGTTTGAGTCTTCCCTTCACAGTTGACTTGCTCTGCAACCTTGGCAAGTCACTGCCCCTCTCTGTGCCTGCAAACATGGGAAGATACTATTGTCTTCTCAGCGCTGGGATGAAGAGCCAGGGAGCCAATCTGTAAGGGACCTAACCTGGGCCAGGCATGCAGCAGGTGCTGACCCTTGTTGGCAGCCTTTTCCCTGGCGCCTGAGCATGAGCACCTCCGGCGAGCCCCGTTTGGCTTTGTGAACTGTGAAGGGCTTTCCCGCTGCAGGGCCCAGGGCCTCACTGGGGCGGGAAGGGTCAGAGAGCAGAGTTACGCTCTTCATTCTGAACAAGGGCACCTGCCAGGTTTCTTCCAGGCCTGAGGTTTGGGGACCTGAGATCTGGGAAAACTGGGGGCCCGGAGAGGACTGTAATACCACTCCCTGTCTCCCCAAAAATGGTTAGAGGCAGAACTGGGTCAGAGCCCAGGGCTTCCCAGCCTGACCTGGCCTCTCTGTGGCATCTTCTGCTTGGAGGAGCCACCGGGTCACAGAGAGACTCACGCTCACCCTTCTTTAGGTTCTAGGGATTCAGCCTTGGGCCAGACCCTCCACCTTCCAATCCCCAGGTTGCCATGGAGACCGAAGCCCAGGAGAACAAAGTCAGGCAGATGGAATTCCCATTTCGGAAGGCCCCACCGCCTGGTTTCCATTACTCACACCCTGGTTCCTTGGCCTCGGAGCGGCCTTGGCTGCGCAGAGCAGCTGGAGAACAGCCTGGAAAGGCGCATGGGTTCCCCTGTCCTGGGCCCTGCCTGGGCTCCCTGGGGGACCTTGGCGATGTCCCCAGCCCCCGTAGGCCTCAGTCCCCTCACCTGTGTGGTGCTGTGTGGGCTGCTCCCATTTTTCTTTCACGTGTGAGGAAGGAGCAGGCTCCTTGGCCTCTGTCTGGCAATTGCAGGCTGGTGAAGGTGGGATGTCAGGGCTGTGCGGTCATTATGCTCTGCCCCACCCCATCCCACAGATGGGAAGACTGAGGCGGAGGGAAGGGAAGCAGTACAGCGTAGAGGTGAAAGGCCTTGGAGTAAGGCTCTAGGGCTCAACCCCTGGCTCCACCACTTATTACTAGTGTCTTGGCCCGTTTACAGGACAGAGGATCAACACAGAACACAAAACACAAACGCAGAACACAAAGAAAAACACAGACACACGTACAAATGGTTGACTCAAGTAATAATACACCGGGTCAGTTTTATTTTTATACTCTAAAAGATGAAAGTTAGTTCCTTGTACGTAACCACCCAGGCGTGGCAGCGATAGCCATAAATTCTGGAAAGCGTAGCCTTAGGGAAGCAGATATCCCCTGACTCAGAATTTCAAGGTGGTTGCTCTAGGCACTAGGCATAGATAAAGGACCGAGATTAGCAAGGATGGGCCAGGTGAGCCACAGGGGGCATTTCTCATCCCCAGCTTCTCTTAGGGTGACCCACTAAGATCTTCGGCTGAAGCCCGGAGGCTGTGCCTGGCTTAGGTCGCCCCTCCCTTGAGGGGGTCTTACCTGTCATTGACTAACCAGCCATCTTATGGGGTGTACGCAGCAATCACAGGAACAATATGTTTATCGTGTGGCCTTCAGACCCCCAATGCTGTGGGGCGGGGCCGCTCTTGTTACTCGCATCTCAGGTCCTTTGTTATGCCTCTAGGCAACACGTTTGTTTATCACAGGGGGTCTGTCTGGAGCACATTACTTTCAAACACTCTGGGCAGAACACGTACATTACTCACTAACTTTAATTCCTAAACTAGGAAAATATATGTCAGTCCCCTACAACTAGCTTCGCGTCTTTGAATAAATCATATAACCTCTCTGCCTTGGTTTTCTCATCTGTAAATTGTGCGTACTGGCACCTACCCCTGAGTCGCAATGACTAAGTGAGGTCGTGTGTGTGGCAAGTTTAGTTCGGCGCCCGGCACGGGGTGTGTGCTCTTTAAACGTGAGGGCACAGAGTGAGTGGCAAAGCTCATTGCCCAGCGGTCCAGGCCAGGGCTCTGTCCGAAGTCAGAGCAGAGGGGAGCCGTTAGTCCCAACCCCAGATCCTGTCCTTCCAGGAATAGTTTTGCTGGAGGACAAAGCTGCCCGATTCCAGGGAGTAAGTCAGAAACAGCCTGTCCCCTCACCACTGCCCATTCTTGGCCCGGCCAGGCGCAGCTGGGGTCAGCTGGCAAACAGGGTGTGGACGGGTGGCGAGGGAAGAGGGCACAGCGGTGCCACTGGGTTGGACGCCAGCAGGAGGAGATTCGGCATCGCCTGTGCCAACTGCAGCCGGACTCCTTGCCGGTGAGTCAAGTCCCTTGTGCTGCAGTCTCTGCCTTGTGACTGGCGTGCTCTCTTGGCCTGGCTTGGGTGAACAGTGGCAGCCTGGACTCTCCAGCCTGCCCAAACTGCTGCCTGGCACTGGGGTCCCTCCCTGGGTTTCTGCTTGCATCCCGCCACCACAGGAGCTCAGGAGGGCCCGTGAGCCCCTTGCTGGTTCTAAAGTTCCCTCCACGTTCAGCTGGGATCCAGGGGTGGGGGTGGGGAAGGAGGGGCAGGTCAGTGCTGGCCCCTGCAGGTCTCCTGCCCAGGTGACCACTTGGAGACCCCCCAGATTCCCCAGCTTCACCCCTCCCTGCTCCACTCACCGTCACCCTACTCCTCTGAGCTCCCTGCCCCACTTCCCTGCCTCGGCCCCCTGGTCCCTTTGCCTGCTGTCCCCTCCCTGGATCCCTCCTGCCGACACCCTACCCTAGAAGGCCTGTCTGGTTCAGCGCTCTTCCCCACCAAGCTCCTGGCTTCCCCGGCCCTGCCTCTTGCGCAGAGCCTGCAGGGCCTCGAGCAATGGACCCCAGCCTGGGTCTCCGAGAAGCCACTTGTGTGCTGTTGTTTTGCTTACAGTTACAACATCTGTGGAACATCTGGCTTTGCCTGTCCCCTCCTTGGCCGGGCCAGGAGGGAGGGAAGGGGGTGCGCTGGGCCCCTGCGCCGCGGCGCCCCTTCCTTGGTTGGGGGGAGGCAGTGGGGGACTGCGGGGCAGCCGTGGGGCTGCTGGGCACGGGCGGAGTGGGGCGTGGCGGGGGGCGGCCGTGCCAGGCGCCCATGGAGGCACAGAGGCACACAGCAAGCGCGCCCTGCCTCATCGCCCTCAGCCCCCACGGCAGCCCTGGGAAGAAAGTCTGAGTGTTATTTTCATTCTGCAAATGAGAAAATCAAGGTTCCGAGAGAGAGGGCAGCACGTCCTGGCTGAGCGGGGACGGGGGCGCAATCCCTCACTTGCCGGCAGCCTCAGCCAGCCCCTCCTCCACCAGTCTGGGGTTGGTGGCCGGGCTGGAGGGGCAGACGGGGCTTTTGGCCCAGCTCTCCTGGGCGTGGGGGCAGAGCCTTCCAAAGGAGGGCCGAGGAGCAGCGTGAGCTTCTGAGGGGAAATGTCTGGTTGAGTTCAGTGTCAGTTCTCAGTGGAGCCGTGTGACTCAGTCGCCTCAGCTATGAAATGGGAATAATAACCCACCTCCTGGTGCTCGTGTGGACTCGGTGAGATCATGAATGCCTGTGACCCCTCGGCATGGGGCACGGCACAGAGGGCGGGAGGGAGGGACGCCCATGGGGACTGAGCCAC